CGACCATTTCTTGCAATCAATGTGCGTGTTAGGCTCAGGGTTGAGATCTATGATTGAGGCAATTTTTGTAGCAAAGTTAATGTCGAAAATCACCGTTGCTCGGTTCAGGGACTCCCCCGTATAAATATAATTTATGGCCATTTCGTCATGGAGCGCATCCGGCGCAAACACTTGCTCTACCATATTTCCTAGTATGGGAGCAAGGTCCTTTAGATTTCCCACGCTGATGTGTGCGCTCACATCTCCGCTGGGTGTTTCCCCTATGGGAAAGTTTAAGTCTGGAATTTTGTGCACTGAATTTTCCGTACTTGTGCCAGGTCTGGACTTGCTCCCTGTTTCAATTTGGGGTACTTCGGCAACATGCTGTAATAAATCTCTCTTATCCTTTTTCGTCGGGCGTCCCCGAGTACTTCGGATTTGAGAAGCTGGATTTCTCGTCTTTTTAGGCCTTTGGACGGGAGCAGGTATACCATCATTTTTCTTTGGTATTTCAACCCTTTCCGGTGCATTGCGCGCGTGCACACGCGATTTTGTCACAGTCTTTAAGTCACTAAAGTGGTCAGGCAGTTGATCTGCTAAAGATTGTAAATCCATTATCTTTTGGACTTCTCTCTCAGTCTCAGCAGTGCGTGGGTCATGAGCGTGGATCCCCGTGGCTTGCCACGTGATTTGTCGACTTTTAGCATGAAGGGGCTGATTCTCTCCCCCTAAAGTCAGGAAAAAAACCTTGTCAAAAATGCAATCAGCAAAACGAGTCGTGTGACAGTCACCTGTCATGGGGTCCAGATACCTGATTATGGACACAGTCTCATAACCAACGTATATCCCAACTTACGGAGCGGTCCCATCGCTGACCGCTGAGGGGGTGGTATTGGTACATATACCTGGCAACCGAACCTACGAAGGTGGGAAATTTTCTGTGCCGACCCTTGCGCAAGTTGAACAGGAGAGTGGATGTTGTAGGCCGACGATCTAAAGTTGATGAGATTGGCCGCGTGTAGCACCGCGTGGCCCCAACATGTAGTTGGTAAATTACAACCCTAAAGGAGCGGTCGGGCAATGAATTTAATTCTTTTAATCAATGCCTCAGCAAGTCCATTTTGTGTATGAACATGCGGTACCGAGTGCTCAACTTTGATTCCCATTAACATGCAACAATCATCGAACGCCTTTGAAGTAAATTCTCCGGCGTTGTCCATTCAAATAGACTTTATACGATAATCAGGGAAATTATTCCTCATTTGTATGATCAGAGAGATCAACTTTGCAAAGGCATGGTTCCGTGTTGACAGCAGGCAAACATTGGACCATTTAGAGGAAGCATCAATGAGCACCATGAAGTACCGAAATGGCCCCGTGAGGGGTTGAATTATACCGCATAGGTCCCCTTGGATACGTTCCAAGAACGCGGGGATTTCATCCCTCACCTTGAGGGGCGATGGCCTAATGACTAACTTCCCCTTAGCGCATGCGGAGCACACGAAATCATCGGGATTTGGGAAGTTCTTCACGTCAACATTATGACCATGCGAGTTGTTAGTTATATTTCTCATCATCCTAAGTCCGGGGTGACCTAACCTATCGTGCCAGAGGCAGAAGAGTTCAGAGCTTCTAAAAACGGTCTTGAGGGTAGTGTACACGGGTGGTGCTACTATTTTAGTGTAGTATAGCTCTGTGTCAAACGAAGGAAGCCTTTCGATAACATGTTTACCACATGCATCCTGCTTTGTGATGAGTAGGCACTCCTTGCCGTTTTCATCATCGGTCTCAATATGGAAACCATTAGCGTGGATGTCTCTAAAGCTCAAAAGAGTACGAGTTGACTCCGGGTACAACAATGCATCATTAATGATCAAAGTTGTTCCCATAGGAAGTATAATGGTGGCTCGTCCAGAGCCAACTATGTGCGAACCACAGCCGGTGATTGTCATAATACTTGCCGGAGATTTTTTAATGGACTCAAAGTACTTAGTTTCTCGTAAAATGGTATGTGTGGTGGCGCTATCGGCAAGGCACGTTTCCTCCATTCGGGCTCCACACGCGTTCTAAAATATGACATCTAATTAATGTAATGAGGAAGAAACTACATTAAAAATAAATGCACACATCTCAGAACATAACATACTATCATGTATAAATAATGGAATAAGTGAATGAAATAAATGTCATCCAATCACCAAACTAAAGAATAAGTTTATGCTCTCATAGAGCTTACAACCAAATCGAATTTATTGTATCAAATCGAGGAATCATGATAACCAAAGAGGTATGCTAAGTGGACTCGGTAAAGAAGCCATTCACTTCAGCCGCAATCTCCATACTAGTGAGTTGATCCTCCTTAGAAATCATCTTGGAGGCAGCATCAACATCTAGTTGCGGCACCGCCGAGGTGACCATGTGGTCAACCTCCATGGCGACGTGGGCGTCATTAGAGACCGCCAAAGCCACCGCGATGGGCACCACGGGGGTCGCCTCTATGGGCGCAGCAGGGGGCGTAGAGATCATCACGGGTGCCGCCATGGGTGCCAGTGGTGCTCCCTCCTGAACCAAGGCGAGGTGCGTCTCACGCGCCTTCCGAGCCTTCTATGCTTCAATGACCTCCTGTGGTGCGCGGCACTGGCAGGAGAAATGCTCCACCGAGCCACAACGGAAGTAGTCCTGAGGCCTCTGCCCTCCCTTGCCCGGCTTTTGCTGCTTAGCCGGGGCGGAGGGTTGAGGGACCTTCTTCTTGCCCTTGCGGCCCCTCTTCTTCTGTTGAAGCTTGCGGACTTTGAGAGCGTTCACCTCCTGGCGAGAACTCCCCCCAAGTGGTTGTGCGACAAAGTTCTTTTTCAGAACCTCATCCTGCGCCTCCTCCGCCTGGAGGACGTCAATCAACTCTGAATACCTCGTGTAGTTGCCCTGGCGGTAGTTCCGTGAGGACTGGACCGCGTCAGGGTGGAAAGTGGATAGGGTTTTCTCAATCTTTTGGGTGTCGGTAATCTCAGTACCACACAACCGAAGAGTCGTACAAATCCGATGCAGAGCAGAATTGTACTCCCCAACCATCTTAAAGTCCGCAAACTTTAGACGGATCCACTCTGCCTCTGCACGTGGCTCCACAGTGTACTTCAGCCGCTCAAACCGCTGCTTAAGAGCGGTCCAAAGGCCAGAAGCACTGCGCTCAGCCATATACTCATCTTTCAGAGTAGGTGACAGGTGATGACGGAGAAAATGCAGAGCCTGCGCATTCTCAGTTTCGAACTTGGGATTAGTGGGGGCCAGCTGGGTCCCCTTATCGATCGCCCTTAGGAGGCTTTTGCCCTCGAGAAAGATCTCGCAGTCCGAGGACCATGACAGGTAGTTCAGTCTTGTCTGGGCCAACTCAGCAAACTCCTTGTTCACAATTCCGGCCATCTGCGATTTATGCAAAAATTATGAGATTACGACAGGTAATCTTTTGCACAAATGCGATGTTGACAAACTTATTCAATAAAAATGACGTTCCAGTATTTAAAACATGTTATTATATGATTTACTTAATGATTAAGAGTGTTGAACAATTAATCTACAGTAGTAAAAACATATAATAAAACCAAGTTGCAACAGATAGCATGTTAAGCTCGTCTAGTACATGAGAACTAGCCCAAAAAACAAATTCCCGAGGCATTTTAAAGCCCAAATACGCATATTTCAGCGAAAACAGACAGTTCTAGGGACTTATACACAAAATATTACAGCAGGAGTATAGTGCGCATAAATATATAGTACTGTGGGGGCTAAAACGCAAATTTTCGCCGCTGCAGTATTTTTTTTTGTTATGCGAGTACCCCACGGCCGCGGCCCATCCGGGCCCAGCAGCCAGCGCCTGGCCGGCCCACCCGGCTCTCACCCGAGTGGAGGGGCGCGCTAGGGTTCCTAGCGCCAGAGTGGGCAGGGCGGCGGCACGGCACGCGACGGCAACGTCGGCAGGACGCGCGGGTGGCGACCATCGGGGCGGGCTGCGCGCCAGCAGTGCGCGGTGGCTGGCCATCAGGGCGGGCTGCGCGCGAGCACGCGCCAGCACGCGCCAGCAGTGCGTGGCGGGTAGCCATCGGGGCGGGTTGTGCGCGAGCACGCGCCAGCAGGGGGCGACGGCTGGCCATCGGGGCGTGGCGACGAGCCGGCCAGCGGGACGGCGACGGTGGCAGCAGGACGCGGCGCGGCGCGCACGACCAGCGGGGTCGTGGTCGGCAGATGGCTAGGGCGCGCGGCCAGCAGGGCCAGGGAGACGCTGTCGATGGCTTGGCACGGCGTCATCTGGACGCCGGCCTTGGGATGCAGATCTTCGTCGCATTCATCCAGAACCCCAACGGCACGTGGCACATCTGGTGTTTTTGCGGCGGTACTATGACCATCTGGATCACGATCTGTACCGACTCCCGTATGATGCAGTCAACAAGTCCCTCTTGATCAAGAACATTGACATTGGTCAGCGACGTATTCGTCAACTCAATTCTTGGAAGGAAAATCCACACCATAGGTAGATTAAATTTGAAAAAAAAATAGACTAATCGCAACGGAATCGTGATGACATGAGGAATCCATTTTTGCAAGAAGAGAGATCGGATCTTATACCTCCGCGTGAACGATGAAAGCCTGCTTGATGCAGGCTTGACGCAGGCTTGATGGAAAGTTGGTGGAGCGAAGCGTGCTGATAACGTGTTCCGCAACTCCGCCGGCGAGTTCGGTCCGAGGTTGCGGAGCAAGGGCGAGCGTCGTAGATGAAGTAGTCGAACATGCAAAGTAGATGGACACAGAGAAGTATGGAGAGACTAGCTTTATTAATCAATGATCAAGTGTTACAACGATTGCTCCTCGTCGCTGAGTCGGTTAGAGATGCTCGGAGCTCTTCAGTCTTCACCCACACCAAAGTATACCAAACAGTTCAGTGCAGCTTATCCTTTCCCTTGCATACATCTCTGCTCCTCTCCACCTCTCGCTCCCAGACCTGCTCGCGCTCCAACAAGCAGCAAAGCGCCATGGCCTCCATCCCGTGCACCATCCAGCTCGCGACCAAGACGGCGTCCTCGTCGTCGGGGTGGAGGTCGCCGCGGGCGGCGCGGGGAGGGCTGAGGGCGGCGCAGGTGGGCGGCGCCGCAGCGTGGCTGCGGCCGTCACTGTTGAGCAAGGTGGCGCCGGCGAGGGAGAGCGGCAGGGTGGGGTTCTTCAAGTTCGGGAACAAGGACGCGGAGGGCGCCGGCATCTACGGCAGCCAGGCGAGGGACGACTTCGACCGCGACGACGTGGAGCAGGTGAGAACCCGTTCCCTGAACTGTCACTGAATCTCCATTGCTGCATGCGCTCGGCATCTGACAAGAATGGGCGGCAGTACTTCAACTACATGGGGATGCTGGCGGTGGAGGGCACCTACGACAAGATGGAGGCGCTGCTGAACCAGAGCATCCACCCGGTGGACATCCTGCTGATTCTGGCCGCCTCCGAGGGCGACTTGCCCAAGATCGAGGAGCTGCTCAAGGCCGGCGCCAAGTACGACGTCAAGGACGCCGACGGGAGGACGGCGCTGGACCGTGCTAGCGGCGAGGTCAGGGAGTTCATCACCGGCTTCGCCGTGGCCAAGAAGGCATGATCACTCATGCTTGGAGATTCCGGTTTGGGGTGTGTAGATTCTCGTCCGTTTTGCTACGGTCGGTAGAGTGAGCTTAGCCGGGAGATTCACGAGCTGCTCGGGTCGGCACGGTGCAACCACTGACCTTGCTTTGTGAAGGACCTGATCTCCATGAAAGGTTTGAGTAGTTGCTGAACCTGATGAGCAGGTTTCGTTGCGTCATCCTTGAACCGAGGCAATTGATATATAATGTTATTCGGAAGAAGAAGAACCTTGCTTCAGCTTGCTAATGTTATGCAACTATGTAACCGGCTTTAAGTTGTAGGTGCATATATTTACTTACTTCAACCTCTCTTTTTTGTAAATGAAATCTCAGAAATGGAAGTGTCAAATGTGCCCTCACATAAAAGTGAAGCATATCAAAAAAGCATTCATGTATATTTGAGCCGGCATTAGTGGCTTACACTAACATGTGCCGGTCAACAGTTCTTCCTCACCGGCATCTACACCAAAACGCCTACAACTGGATCTAGTTTCTACAAGCACCTCGAATCAGCTAAACCAAAAAACACAAGATTAAAGAATAAAGAAATAAAAGGAAAATGAAATCCAGACAGTATTTCTTTTTGCCACATTTGCTGAGAACGAAGAAATCACAAAACCTAAAACCCAAAATTCAACAATAAGACCGCAGGCACTTGAATCTCAACAGAAACACTACCACAGTACAAAGCCTTCAACATTTATTTCATTTGCTTTCCTATTAGTCTCCATCGGTACATGCTCTATGTACTACAGTTTTACAACGGCATTCGCCAAAAGATTCAATCGGGGAACATTCACCTACCTCCGCCTGCACAATGAACACGAGTATAAACTCTATAACCCCTTCCTCGTAAAAAAAATTCTATAACCCCATTACGAATCCACACGATCATTATTTTTTTTCTAGTATTATCAATTTCATATTTTTGTATGGGTTGTGAATATCACTAACTACGAAACATTTGGTAGATGGCAGCTGTACTTCAACCTAGGATGTGCTCGGAGTGCATGTTGAAGAGCAGTGTCCACTGTGACTCCCTCACGGAACAACTTGTCGTACAAGAGGCAGATAAACTGAGCCAAGTACTCTTCTTCATCAATATCTTTGTTGCCTTCACCGTTTTTCTCAGCATCGCTGTCTTCCCAGTCACTTATAGGGCTAACAGGTTCAGGCTCCGACTCGTCAGCTTCATCATCCCCAATGACAAACTTCCCATTCTCGAGGCTTCCACTTACATCCATCCCATGGTATGCGATTGCCTGGGAATCGGGAGGCTCGACAGATGACGAGATGACTGCTTTGGCACCAGAATCTACGAATGCCTTGATGAGGCCATGAACAAAACCATACTTGCCACTGCACACAATAATCCTCTCCCTCCATGCTCCAACCTGAGCCAAAAATATGAGTTTAAGGTAACAAATCAAGAGGGCCGTGAACTATGGATATGCATTGTAGAAAACATGCAAACAGAAAGAAGACGCTACGATATGGCAGCTATTGAAAGAGTACATCTGTCCCGCAACACATATTTCTGGGTGCACCCAGGTTATGCTACCAGGGTGCAGAGGAAAGCAGGTCAAAATAGATTTTCTTGATATATTTTATTTAGTATCTAACACCCCTACTTTAGGTGACGTGTGATGCGTACTGTGATACTGGGTTATTTCCGCTCTAGGTCCACCCATATTTGGCTGGTGTGAATATACCCATTCCCCTGCAATGTCTTATACGTGAACAGTGCCTCTTTGCCACAACATTGCCAACCACCAATGTTTCGCTACAATCTGGTTCATGACAAATCTTTCGAGTCAGCTGTACATTTACCATGTCAACTTTTGATAACGGTTCCATGAAAAAATATGCATGTTTGACCCCGTATTCCTAGTTGATTTGAGGAATCAACTAGCAATAATGTATACAGATTTTAGTTGGAGATACTCTTGCATTTCATAATTAACTACATTCCACTGTAAGCATTTTGTACAACAGTTCCTATCTATGGACATATGAAGGCTAGTTCAAAAGAAGTGCAATCTACCCATAATGGCTTACCATCCAGCGAACATCTTCAGGTGACATGTGACAAGCAGGCACTGTCCTCCTGAACATATAGGCACCAATTTCTTGGTTATCTTCCATCACCTGTGACAAGGAAACTTAGCATACCCAATGACCTGTCCAGGAAACAAAGAAAAGGAAAAGGCAGTTCCTACTTGTGTTTGGCGCCCTATATAGCGGTGATGTATCCCACCGATTTCAAATGATGGCCATTCTGCAACTAACTCAGACAAGCATGAAATCTTTGAAACAGAATATGCACCCTTTCTTTTAGACCCATGCAGCATGGTAGACAAGCTTGTTTTGACACACTGCAGAAACCTGTCTGCAAGTTCCCCTGGCTCAGCAACTACAAATACGTCATTCTGCCAGCTGCAATAGCAAGTTTTGCATCACATAACCAGAACTACAGGTACAGAAATGCTTGTTTAACTAAACAAAAATATACAAACAGTACCTCAATATCGAACCAGTTGAATCATTTTGAAGAGCCAGGTGTATCACACCAACCTGAGGCATATTTTGCAACTTGTCATACAGTGACCGAACATGTCCAGATGGCTGCCATGACTTTATTGGCGATGTTGGTGGTGATGACTTCATAGCTGGGTGACCATCCAGGCTAAGCGGCGGAACTAGGTCAATTCGACCAATCCGTTGAGTGCCTTCTGGACTATACAGAAGTGGACTAGATGGAAAGCTCCCAGTAAACAAGGGAGAGGTGATTGGAGTTGGGAGTGCAGTAGTTGGCTTTCCAAATCCAGAAGTGCTATTCATTAGAGTAAGCCTAATACCATTCTGAGAGCAGAAAACTTCAAGTGAACGAGTATGATTTATCTTCTTTCCAAAATCAGGATTAAATGAAGCCTCTACAAGTAGAACCACACGTCTCCATCCCAAGGTAGGATTACTTTCACTTAAACCTGAGAGATGATTATAAGATGTTTCAACCCCATATCCCATTAAATGTTACCTGAAGGTGCCAGAATGTAGATAAGACAAACCTGATTTTGATGTACTCAATCTTGAAAATGACAGGGATTTGACAATTCCAGAAGACTTCTCTTCCTCTTGATATCTTGGAACTAAAAGCTCACAAACATTCTTAAAAACCTCTAAATTTTTCTGAATGTACTCTTCGGTTGCAGCCTCCAACTTTAGCCAGACAGCCGGGTCAGTCTCATCTAACTCCATACCACACCGGTCATCAACTGACAACATAACAAGATCTTTCACTCATTTGAATATCCAAGATCATTACTCTAAAAGTGCCAAAATGACTAAAAAATACTTATGGTTATGTTGATATGGGTCAAACGTACAGCTTCCTTGAAAGTTAGATTACCTGGATTAAAGCGGAAATATTGCATCTCAGGAAGCATAGGTATCAGTGTATCCAAAGTTTCTTCCACTCTCTCCACTGAGCATGCACTTTCTATTAAAACTTGCCCAGTGTCCAAGTAGCGCCATCCACCTCTCCGGCTCTAGATGAAGACAAAGAACAGAATTCTATGAGAACAGTGTGCTAAAGGTATATATCTCAGATCGAAGTTCACTGGAATCTACGCATAGTAAATTTACAAGCAATCAGTATTCCTCTTGGATGACTTAGGTGTTTCCTCATAGTACATTTATGCCTTGATTTGTTATTTCTGGAAGAGGGAGATCTGTGATCACTAAATACAGAGCAGGTTAGACTGATAAATTACTTAGAATGCCACTTAACGGAAAATCCTGCATTAATTGAAAATAATTAGACCTTAACCATAAAATTTACAAGCCAAGTGCTCTGTTGCGTGATATTCTAATATTTGTAGAATAGGAAACGTAATTTCCCACAGGAAAAAGGAAAGTACCAATCTAGTAAAGAACTGGTTGCACATGGATACCTATCGCACAACATTGAATATTTTAATGATGAAGTTGTTGAAGCAGCAAATTCAAGAACTATGACGCGTATTACCTTAGTTGGAACTGAGCCACACCCTATTGAAACTAGGCAATCTATTCTCGTATCAGGCCACAAAAGTTGTGCTTCTCTTATTGCAAAGATCGTGGGATTGTTCGCTACAATAGCTCCATCTTGCCAGCGATTTACATCTGATAAGAAAAAAAAAGAGGAAGAAAACAGTAAACAAGATAAATGAGTCAGAGGTACATGCTCAAGATAATAGAGACATACTAATTCTTGCACAAATTAACTTCAATAGCGAGTTTAGGAATGTTTACCATCAGAGAAATCATCCAGATAATATGGAGCTGCAGATGATGCTCTTATGGCTTCCCATACGTGATGCTTGCAGCTCCCCATAAAAGCTCCACGTTTAATCCCAACTGGTGCACCAGAAACAACCGTTCCAACTGCGCCAGTACATGGACTTTCTGCCATTCCTGGTGATACCTCCAGAGTGCCGGGTGGATACTGGAATACATTATCAGATTATCATATGACACAAAACATAAAAAGAGAAGACAGAGAACGGTAGCACGAGGACGCTGATAGCTAAAGTAATACTACTAAATAATACTTTGTATCTTTCTTTCTGATTTCAATTTTGATAACTAAATAGTCCCAGCATACAGCTGTACAAACTACAGTTGGAATTGAAAACGATAGAGCAATAATGGAGGATAAAAAGAACCTGATAGTTCCGGAATATATATGGTTGGGCAGGCATGGCGCTGACTAAAGTTGATACAGCAAAAACCTTCGGAATGCCTTTCACAGAAGACTCTATTAGAAGGTCACCGTCATCATCAGCACACATTTCCTTTAGTAACCTCTCGAATTGATCTGCGCTGTGCTGTAATTAAAATCTCTTAGTCACCACCTCACCACACTGCAGAACATGAAACACCACAAAGAAGTTCAATCGTTCATTTATACCTTCGACCCATGTACAACCACTCTAAA